AGGCGGGGCTGAGGCAGGGGCGGAGCAAGGTGGGGCAGGGGGGGAGCTTGGGGCAGAGGGGCCATTGTTCCGGCCCACCCTAATTTTGCAACCAGCTTCCTCGCGCCCGGGGGCTGCCCCACCACCAACCCACCTCCAGCTCTGCCAGCCCCGGGTTCCAGCCTCCCTCTGGCTTCCCCACTCCCTGGAGCCCACCAGCCCTGCCCCCAGGGTCCAAGCCACCAGCCCTGCCAGCTCCACTGCCATTCGGGGTCCTGCCACCACCCGGGGCTCAGCTTCTGGCCTCCCGCTGTGGCTGGGGTGCCAACTCTCCCAGGCCAGATGCCATTTGCAGCAATGGCGTCCGGTCCATTCGGTCTGGGAGAGCTGGCAAGTATGAGTGTGAGGGGCAGGAGCAGGTGTGGGGGGGGGGGCAGAGCTCAGCACCCCCACTCTGAAAATAGCTCCAGCCCCACTGCCTTGAGAGCAGTAGGGCACGAGCTCTGAGAAGGACTCCAAGACTGGAAAACACCCCTTGGAGCAGGGGTGGGCAATAATTTTTCCAGGGCGGGGAGAGCATTTAATGAATTTTGGGATTGGGTCAAGAGCCGGCTACCAGCTTCCTCGCGCCCGCGGGCTGGCCCCACCACCAACCCACCTCCAGCTCTGCCAGCAATGGTGTCCGGTCCATGGGGACTAGCCTCCCCCCCAGAATTGTCTGGGGCCAGAGGCTTTGAATTAAAAACACAGCAAAGGGCTCATGGCTCCCAGCTCCACCTCGACTGCATTGGGTTGCCGCAGCTATTTGAAGGGCTCCCGGCTCCAGGCCCTGCCACTACCATGTTGCCTGGCAACTGCCCAAATTTGCTGTGGCTATTTGAAGGGATCGCAGCTCCAGGCCCTGCCACTACCATGTTGCCTGGCAACCGCCCAAGTTTGCTGTGGCTATTTAAAGGGATCGCAGCTCCAGGCCCTGCCATGATAGCGCCACGACAGTGAGCCATATAAATCGGATCCTGCTGCCTGAGCCACCGCCTGGAAGTTCGGTGCAGAAAGCGGCCAGATGCAGCCTGTGGGCCGGATCGAAGTGTTAGGGGGCATCATCTGGCCCCCGGTCCGCATCTTGCCCAGCTCTGCCTTGGAGGGAGACGCTTTGGAAGCCTCTTTGCGTGAGCTGGTCCAAGTGAAGGTGAAGAAGTGACTTGATCCCCAGCGCCACCGCCCTGCCCAGAGAAGACGTCACTGACAGTCAATGGCTCGTTAGCCGGAAAAGGCAGAACGGGGCCCACGGAAGCTGAAACTAGACGCTTGCCCCCGGGGAATCAGACACCCATTTTTATTAGGACGGGCGGGGAAGCCCTGAAACAATTTCCCGAGGGCCCTGGTGGAGTCTCCGCCCTGTCGAGTCTTTGCGTCGGCTCCCGCTCAACCAGCGTTTACAGGTCGGATGCAGAAATTTCTGGATGAGGCCTGCAGCAGAGAGGGGGGCAGGCTAGACAATCCGGATCACGTCGTCTAGCCTCGAGCTCTGGGAGGGGATGAATCAGACTTTCCAGGCTGCTGGGGAATCCCCCAGCTGCAGCTGCCCAGAAGGAATGGATGCGAGTCTTTGCGTCGGCTCCCGCTCAACCAGCGTTTACAGGTCGGATGCAGAAATTTCTGGATGAGGCCTGCAGCAGAGAGGGGGGCAGGCTAGACAATCCGGATCACGTCGTCTAGCCTCGAGCTCTGGGAGGGGATGAATCAGACTTTCCAGGCTGCTGGGGAATCCCCCAGCTGCAGCTGCCCAGAAGGAATGGATGTGGTTCGTGGGTTATTTCTCTTTGAATGGTGCCTCTGGGCTCTGGTCCCTGCTGTGCGGGGGAGGGGGAGGGAGAGGGGGGGCTGCACATCCACACATTGCCTGCCCCCGCGGCAGGGGCGACTGAGAAGG